CTCGTTTAGCTGTAACTTCATCTTTCAGCTGAGATTATTTTTTTTTCTTTTGTTCAATACTGCTCCTTCCCGTTTTCTTTTTATATATATATTTTTCTTTTATCCTGATCTCTTTCAATTCCATGTAAAATGGTTGGCGTAGAAATGACTAGTTTTAAGGTAATTGATGATATTTTACTTACAGTAAGACAAATGTTTGTATACACGAATTAGTGCTGAATTATACTTCTATACGTCATTTCAGAATATTGGCGACCATACTCTCCACAACTTTCAATCCTTGCAGACCAGAGCAGTTTTTCAATTTTTTTGCAAAACAACCCGCTCTCCGTTCTGCCTTCTATTAACACAAGCTCGTCATTTTGTGAATCACTGCCGTTCCCTGTGTCCCTTGCCCCAAGTGTATCCTGCGAAGATTAAGTCTTTCATCCTCATTAGGTGTCCAAGAAATTCCACGAGCCTCTTTCTGATTTTGTCTCTTTGGTTCTCATTTTCTTTAAGACATCCCTGTTGCTTACTCGCTCTGTACATAGATGTTCTTATCATCCTTCTGTAGAGCCATATTTTTGTTACCTGCAGTTTTCTCTTTATTTGTGGAAAGATTCACTAACATATAAGATGGTAGATATCACATAGCAATCCAGCGCTCGTTTTGTGTTTCTAAAGGTTTTTGTGTTTTTTCCTCTTTTTGCTTAGCTTTTGAAAGGCATCTTTCGCTAGTCCAATGGGTGTTCGGATTTCGATATTATATTTCCTATGCTCTGTTAAAACACTTCCAAGATATTTAAACTTCTGTATTTGCTTGATGTTGACATCTCCAGTTCGTAGCTTGGGCATCGGGCTTTTTTTTTTCTTGCCGATGACCATACTTTCCTTGCAACTCGATAGCCCCTTTTTCTCTCTTTCTTTTCCTACCCTATCTAAGCCTTGTAGTCTAAAAACTGTTATCTGCGTGTCTAATATTGTTAGGATACTCCCCCCGCCCGATGATAAACTCTGGTCACCAACTCCCTTAGGATAGCTCCGCTGTAGAGGTTGAAAAAATAGGGGTATTTTCGGAAGACTTGGTCAGGCAGAGAATTTTTCAGTACCCCCGGGGAGGCATTGCAGCGTGTACCGACAGTTACCATACAGTGTTTGTACCTATGTCCAAACTTTCTGTCTATATAGTTTCATTCCTACTGACCGTCCTTCCTATATGAACTATTTCACAAAATCTGGCCAAGCATAATTTTTTTATTTTGAAGAGAAACCTTTTGTGTGTGTGTATGTATATATATATATATATATATATATATATATGATTTTAGCAATAAATACCGTTCCATATTGTTCCTTTTCAGCCAGCTTCCCTGAGGATCCGTTTAGGTGAAACCTAGGTAGGTTTGCCTGACTCCTTAGGGTTATCTTATATAGTGAGTGTGTTTTTGTGCATACCTTTTTAAGTAATCTGTCCCTTCAGAACATTTCTCTCCACATATTGTTTTTCTGTAAACGTGTACATTGCTTAATGTCAGTACCTAGATGGGAAATCGTTTTGAAATACAAAGTGTTGGAGGCTTGGATGTGCGGGTGGTGTAACAGATAATGCCTTGGAGATCGGTGATCCGAGTTCCAACTTCATCCGGGATCGTTGGATTAACTTAAGTAATTAGTTGGACTTGTACCACAAATATCTCTAAAAACACTTTTTACAATCTAAAAATATTTCCGGGATTTAAATTACCTTCAAAAGGTTGATAAGCCGTAAAAACAAATCAATCAGTCCCGTTAACTTCAGTAAAGTTTTGAATCTAATGATTTTAAAGTTCTTCAGATAATGAACATATAGTGATCGATAATGAGTAAATATATATATAATGAATAAAAATAGGTAAAAAATGAAAAATATATATATATATATATATATATATATATATATATATATATATATATATATATATAGTTTATGCAAATTTAGGTAATCCTTATGGGTAGACCTGAGGAGGATGATATCTAGAGAGCTCAATGTGAAATTCAGAGCAGATATGTTTGAATAAAAGACAGACGACGTTAAGATTCCATGTAATAAGCTCTTTCACCATAACCCCTTTAACAGGGTTCTGGGTCATCAGACTTGAAAAGAAAAAGCAGATATGTTTGAATAAAAGACAGACCACGTTAAGAATCTTAACGTGGTCTGTCTTTTATTCAAACATATCTGCCCTCTCTCCCCCCTCACTTCCTCAACTTTGCGTATACTTGATGAGGTCCGTAAAAAACGTGTGAATTTCTTTTCATTTTTCATTTCAGCTTTTGGAAATAAAGTCTGATGATCCAGAACCCTGTTAAAGGGGTTATGGTGAAATAGCTTATTACATGGAATCTTAACGTGGTCTGTTTTTTATTCAAAAACACACACACATATATATATATATATATATATATATATATATATATTATTGATAGAGAGATTCTGTGTTGGATTTAATAGATTTTAATGTTCTGGAACATATGTTGCTGTACCTCGTAATGTTGAGATTAGCGTATTTCTGAGCGGGAAAATTTCACCTTTCATGGAGAGAACAGTTACCGTTACGATCGGTTGACATTTATAAAATCTTTCTCTTAAAAAAGTTTTTCAGAAGAGATAGATTTTTCAAGTTCGTTAACTGTTAGCGCTCTTTCTCTGAACAATGGGTGTTTCTCTTCTAAATTTTTATTTAAGATAGTGTGGAAATTCACCATGTAGATTATAAAATTATTTTATCTTTTACAGGTTCTATCCATTTTAATTGCTGCTGCTCTAAGTTTTAAAATGATGTGGTCACTATTATTTGGTAAAATTCTTAGTTTTTGAATCTCTAGCAAAGGGCAGTCCTCTTCAAGACGCACAGAGGTAATACGCTTGAAGCAATTTTTAATCTCAAGTCTAAGAAAACGGTTGTATATAACTGGGAATGTAGAGATTCTTGAACGAGTTACACGCTGCGCATGATATCCAATACAGTTTTCTTTTTCCAAGAATCATTGCCAAACAATAGCTAAAGAACTTAGTTTACCCTACCATTTTGACCATAGTTCAGTTGGAGAAATACAAGAAACTAATCTATGCCATTTCCAAGTGGAATAATGTAAATTGATCACAAACTGCCTCAGCCAATGTTTGAACTCGACTGATTCTATTTTATGTGAACTTAGCCGTTTCTCAAATCGTATGCACAAATATCTATATTGAAACATATATTGTTAAATATAAAAAACAACGAATGTCACTTATGTTTGATCAGGAGCCGTTCTAAACTCCGTATATTTGCTTTAATTTCGGGTGAAAATAAAGACAAAAATTGTCCAACATTTGGATATTTTTTATTAAGCTGGTCCTTGATCTAAGCCATCTTCAGAGTGGTTAACTGGACATTTAAACAAAGATATTTACCATCAAATATGATATTCTATTATGTTGATATAGAAGATTGCTGTGCGATGATAATATATATATATATAGAGAGAGAGAGAGAGAGAGAATGAATAAAGATGCAGTGATAATGAATAAATAAACAGAGATAGATAATTAATACAAAGATAGCTAAGAAACATATATGGACGTCTAATATATAGACAGTATATATGAATAAATATATAGTGAAATATAAGAAATAGATAATGAGTAAATATATAGTGAAATATAAGAAATAGGCAATGAGTAAATATATAGTGAAATATAAGAAATAGATAGATAAGGGGTAAATATATAGTGAAATATAAGAAATAGAGGTTGGGCACCTCGGCGTGGTGTAATGGTTAGTAAGCATCTCCGGCTAAAACAGTTACAACTGAATAGTGAGTTCGATCCTCACTGGGTGCCCCATACCTTCGGACTTGTGCCACATCTAAGCTGCGCTTAGAAAATCAATATAAGAAATAGATAAGGAGTAAATATAGATAATGAACAAATAGATAATGGACAAATAAATATTGTCAGAGAGATTTTGTATTTGTGTGTGCACAAGCACCCACACACTTGACTATTTTAGTCACATATGAAGAGGACGGTGTGCTGAAAACTATTTCAGCCATCACAAAAATGGAAGTCCCCTACAAAATTCATTGTTTGGTTAAAATCTGGAAGGTGGAAATGGCTTAGAACATTTCACCACCCGCTCGCAAATTCTATATTTGTACGTAAATGTATGTTTCTAAATCTAAACCTATATATATATACTTTACATATTTAAAGGGATCTAAATTTTTACTTATATATGCAGGTCCCTGAAGATGAGTCAATAATATAGACCTACGCAGTAATGCTCTTCATTGAATCAACTCGTGAAAATGAGAATTTCCTTTTATATTCTTTTCATGTTCAAACAGAATTGCAGAAAACGTATTTAATTTTGCAGTAACTTTTCTTATTTCTTTTCTGCAGCACATGCTACTTGTTTGTATGTTTAAACCCCAAAGATTAGCTACTGGTTTGCATCTCACCTGCAATAGATAACAAGCTTCCTTGTCACGTGTGTTCGAAAATGAAATTAGCCAAAGCTTTCATCCTATCCGATTCTTGGGTGTTTCATTATTTGTATTTTATATATGAATATTTCCGTGTCACTGGGGTTAAACTGTGCAGAAGATATTCCCTGTAAGGGCTTAAGAAACCCACCTCCACCAATTAATTACCTACGATGTGGATACTTGCGGGCGGAATCTGACCCAATCAATGTGTATAAACCTGTCCCAAATGCGCCCATCGAGACGAGTATAAACCTGTCCCAAATGCGCCCATCGAGACGAGTATAAACCTGTCCCAAATGTGCCCATTCACTCGAGTATAAACCTGTCCCAAATGCGCCCATTCACTCGAGTATAAACCTGTCCCAAATGCGCCCATTCACTCGAGTATAAACCTGTCCCAAATGCGCCCACTCACTCGAGTATAAACCTGTCCCAAATGTGCTCATTCACTCGAGTATAAACCTGTCCCAAATGCGCCCATTCACTCGAGTATAAACCTGTCCCAAATGCGCCATTCACTCGAGTATAAACCTGTCCCAAATGTGCCCATTCACTCGAGTATAAACCTGTCCCAAATGTGCCCATTCACTCGAGTATAAACCTGTCCCAAATGTGCCCATTCACTCGGGTATAAACTTGACCAATACGCACTTCCGGATTCAGGCATATATTCACACAAACCATCCATCTAATAGTACATCAAGTAGGGATCCTGTTGCCTTTCATTGTCCTTTTTGCTTTCAGTATTTATTGTGAGCGTCAAATGCTCCAGTCCCTCCTATCTTCATTATCTTTTGAAGAAACTTAAACTGTATCCTTTGATTCTAAGTAGAAGTGTCTGTTTTGTTTCCATTTTCCTTAAAATTTACTCATTTTTTAAGACTTCAATTGAAAGCATTCCCAACATCATTCCATAGAACTATATCTCTGTTGTCTTTTCTTCTTCTGTCAGGAGATTGTCCAACATTACCTTTCATATAGAATTATTGATATTACATCGCATTTCAACACTCTTTTCTTTGTTTCTAACGAAATTTTACTGTTTCTTAATTCTTTACTTAGCTTTTGGAAAGCATCTTTTGCTATTCTAATGCACGTTTTTATTTCTATGACACATTTTTCATCTTTTGTTAAAACACTTCCTAGATATTTAAACGTATTTTACTTGTTTGAATTGATGATCTTATATTAAAACTTTGCCCATCGATAATAAATCCTTGTAGAGTGTCCACTATCTCGCTTGTGTCCAGCTTGTACGAGAGAAACCATTTTAAAATAATTACATGCTCAGAATGATATTAATAATAATACAAAAACTGTATACCTATATTCTGTAGTGTTTTACACACAAAAATGCTCTGTTACGTAAGCTTGATATATTTGCTTAAGATATTAGAGTAACTGAGGAATTATCCTGGGAGTAAGGAAATATACAAAAATAGAGAAAAGTGTAAGACAAGTATGTGTCTTCTAAGTGGACTTATTGATCTCTACAGAGAGGCGATTCTGAGAGACATGGAAATTCCATCCGGATTTATTATTGACAGACATTATATTAACAACATAAGATATGCAGATAATACGATGTTGACAGGCGACACAAAACGAAAACCTCAAGACTACGAGAAGAAATCACTAAATCAAGCGAGAAAGATCATTTAAATTTGAAATAGCGAAAGGACGCCTTCTAAAAGCTAAGCAAACGACCACGAAACAGAAACAAGTTGTCTGAAACAAAGGAAAGAGTACCGAACAGATAGGTAAAATCAGTCCTCCTCTGTGAACGTTAGACAATCTACTCCCAGATTAAGAGAGTTGACGCAACAGAAATGTGGTTCTACCAAAGGATGCTGAGAATACCATGAACTGAACACGTGAGCAACGACGAAGTTTTACAGAAAATGGAAATAAAAAGGACACTTATACTTAACATAAAAGAGACAGTTCTATGACAAATAGCGAGGAAATAATTGGAAAAGTTGATACTCTCAAGACAGATTGAAGGCAAGGAGAGAGAGGAAATCAAAAAACTAACCGATCTAATATTTGGAAAATGGAGAGACAGCTAAAAGACAAAACTTAGTAAGAGTTACAAAGGAGAGGAAGTTTCGGGGGAGCCATGATCGTCCACGTCCTCAAAGAACACAGCACATAGAATAAGAAATGGGTCCCCCGCTCCCTTAGCCTCGCTATAGTATCCGAGGGAGATGATATATACTTCTAATGGTTACAAAAATAATCATGGCTGTCAGTAAAAAAAAAAAAAACTCTTGTATTATAAATCTCATCTCTGTTCTATAATATTTGTTACATTTTATATATTTATATATTTTATAGACTAAATGTAGCAGCTATTATGGGTCAGAAGTAGTATTCATTTGTTGTTGACCTCATTTACGTCTGAACCTGGTTATATGATTACTTTTTTTTTTTTAGTATTTTTCTACCTAAATTGCGTCATATGATTTTGAACATTTGATGGCCGCCTGCTGCTCCTCTGGAATCCATTATATGGTCGTTCATCGATCTGTCTAGAACAACATTTATTTAATCTTATCTTATTTTATCGACATTTTTTAATAAATTATTTGATCGATTTTTGTTTTCTTTTTAATCGTTTTTCTTTTCTTTCGCTAAAGATTTATCTACTTTCACTTTCACTTTTGTTAAGGTTCTCATTTTTGTTCTTTTTCTTTTTTCCTTTAACGTCATTCCATTCCTTTCTTTTCCACAATTCGTTTCCTTTTTTGACACTTGTTTCCTTATTCGCAGTTTGTTTTTCTCTTTCCCTTTCTCCTCTCTTCTTTTTGCTTTGTCCGTCCTCGTCGTTTTCTCGCTATTCCAAATGTACTACCCGCTATTTTTATTCTTTTTCTCTATCTCCCCCTTATCATTTCTATTGTATCAGTATCGCAATTCTTATTTTAATTACGAGCCTACGTACAGAGAAAACTGTCATAGAATTTTTCGTCTTTATGTGCCGTGTTCTTTTCTTCTTTTCTTCTTCTTTTTTTTCTTCTTTTCTTCTTTTTTTTTTTTTTTTTTTTTTTTTTTGTGTTTTACTCCAAGCAAGGCGGAAAGCCACTAGTACGCAAGAGATTAGAGTTGGAGTGATAGAGGAAAGGATGAATTTCCTGCTCTTTGTAGCTCTAATATGTCTTGTTATTTCTTCTAAACCCTTCTCCGCCACCCATTTATTCAAGCTCACTAATTATGTGAGGCATTTTTCTCTTCTTGTTGTCTTCAATCAGTCATTTCAGACTTTCCAATAATGTTCTTGATTATCTTCCTCAGAAACTTAAACTGTCTTTTCCTGATGTTAAAACATAAGTTTTCTTTAATTTCCATTTTCTCTTAAACTTCCTCATTGCTCACATGTTCGGCCAATGTTGATCTCAGCATTCTTCTGTAGAACCACATGTTTGTTGCTTCGTGTGTCTTCTTCATCTTTGACGAGATTCTCTAGCCTTCATTGTCATATAGGAAGGCAGATATTAAAATTTCGGTATAGAAAACATTTTCAGCTAAATATCTATTTTCTAAAGTTATTTTTATCATTATGCTAAGTCCACTTGAATTTCCTACTCTGAACATGCCTACCTAAAGCCGGTCATGAAAGAAACATCTAAATAATTTTCTAATGTTTTATTAATAATAATAATGATAATAATAATAAATTAATTCAGCAAACTTTTTTTCCACTTGTTTAAAAATCTTAGTGTTTTCAGAAAATGTATTTAAACTGATTATTTTTCTTTGTCTCCATTCGACTGATTCATAGTTATGCGAAATATCAGACAACAACAATGCTTATTATTACGAACGCTATAGATTTTCTAACTTACGGCTAAATTTTAATAAAGCAGATATGAATACGTTGATATGTTTTAATTTATCAACAGAAACATTAATTATATATGGTGATATTTTAAATTTCAATTAAAACTTCGAACACTGTAGAAATTTTATTAAAATATGCTTTTAACACTTATGCAAATTAAATTTTACCGCAAATGGTGAAGACAGCATTTGTTAGTATAATATAGTCGGTAAACTTTATGCTTTAACAATTCGGGGTGTTTTTTTTTTCTACTAGGTGGAGAAACGGACATCATTTAGCTTTACGCGAGTCTGTTAAAAATTATTACGATATGACAACTACCATGATCGTTATTGTTGTTAGATCTATGATAGCAATAAGAACACACTTCTGATGAGCTTGAATTATTTCAATGTCCTTGTCAGTGGGCGGGTTGATAATAACGTTTATAGAAATAGAATTTGATCTTGCTGTGTATCTACAGCCTCAGTAGCTGGGAAATTTCTCCGCGCTTTCAAGTAATAACAGGTTCAACTCACTCCTTCAAAACTCTTCTCATTATTCCGATGTTAACATGTTACTATCAGGATGATGTTGGGGCTTCCGCGGATTTCCGATTCGTGCGCTACCCTGTTGACGCGGCAGGGGATACACCGGCGTCATCCCAACTGTGAAATGAATGCCTATTGACTCAAATATAACTGAGCAATATTTATTTCTAGACAAGGATAAATGACCAAATTTTGCCTCTTGATCTCAGTATACGTTTGAGTCATAAACAATTCACGTCATAATTTTATTTCTTCAAAAAATCAAGTACAATTATATTTTATTCAGTCAAATATTCACTATTATTTGGAATAACATTTTACCACTTATCAGGAAGCACTTTGATATCGATGAGATTTCTTCAAATTTAAAGAAATATGTCTATATCTCTGAGATGAGGTATTATGATTATTTACATTATTCGGACTGTTATCCTCATATTCATTGCCCTATTCACAAGGACACATGATCCAGTGTATAAAGACGTTGGTTAGATCCAGTGACTAGCTTCTAGTGATAGAATGGCTGTCTATATCCATGAAATGAGGCATTATGATTATTTACATTATTCGAACTGTTATCCTTATCTTCATTGGCATATTCACAACGTTTCGGCCGTTGTACGCTCCGGACTTCTTCAGGTGATTGGAATTTCGAACCGAAACCTTTATTTCCTTCACCGGGGTAGATATTTCTAGTTCCACGTCCCACGTCTCTTCCGGAAGTTTCAGTTACTTCCCTTTAACTCAACTATCCAAGATTTTCGGTTCACCACTGATGTACTCTGATATTGAACTCACAACTCTTTGTGTCTAGTTACTGGATCTAACTAACGTCTTTATCCATGATATATTATAGGAGATATATATATATTAGTCATTTAACATAAAGCAAAGCCATATAGCCACTAAAGCGCAAAGTGTTACTGAGTTTGAATGAATAAAAAAAAGAAAACACTATTAAGGAGCGATAACTATCAGGAACAGGAATTAAAATTAAAATTTTTAAGGAGAATAAAGACCAAAATCACTAGGACTGTCCATCGTTTATGGCAATACAAACCGACTGGAAGGTGGCTAAGACTAAACCATAATGTGACATTAAGATTACCGACCGGAAGAACATGCAAGGACACTTATCCATACGTGACATGGAACTGTAAATACGCTGATAGTATGCGACTGTTGACCATAGAATCCTCTTTAAGCGCTACAAAAGAGAACGGTCTACTTATTACCAATTTAGATGCATCAACCAGAAATAGCGACATGAAGAAGTTTGGTGATGTTTGGTGAGGCCCGTGGTCAACTCCATGATTGTATGCTCCTTAGATTCAAGTAGGGGACCTGAAGGGCATAGTACTGAGAAATGTGAAAAAGGAGGACTTTTTAGATGTGTAAAAACAGATGACACGTGCATTTTATCAAAATAAATATCAACTATTTTTTTTTATTTCACTCTTTGATTGGATGCCTTCCATATATAGATGACCGGAAAACAACACCCTAAAAAGGTACCAAGCGATGAACCTCTACTCCTGTACAATAATCATGGAAGTTTGTTTTTTTTTTAATTAGTAATCTAGCATTCTTAATAGATTTTAAAAAATTAACTCCCGATTACAATTTTCTTTTCTTTCTTCCTTCCTTTATTTCTTTTTTATATTTTAATGATTCGCGTGGTATGAGAATATTTTGTTTTGAGTTTTACAGGTGATAAATTTACAAAGCATTTTCAGAAAAAACTAAACTTGTATTAACTTTTCTCAAATTTAATTCTATATGACAATTTTTATATTAAAAAAAAAAAAACATTTTAAAAATGACATTCGTAATCTGGAGAGCCGTGTTCGAATTCCGGTCGAGTTTATTGCATTCATTTATATGCTGCTACCCTTTTCCCCCAGCTATGGGTGAATAGTAGGACAGACTGGGTTCTATAGCTTTGGGTGACAACCGGTTAAAAAGAAGGATAACACTGAATTCAAAAGTGTATGTAGCCCTGGCGAAGCACATATCATGCAACTAAGGATAGGATCGTTCGCATTGACTCGATAAGTCTGACTAGAGTTGTCACTTTTTTTTTTTGTTTGTTCTTTTTTTTTCTTATTTTTCTTTTTTTTACTTCTTTCTTTTTTTTCTTTTTTCTTTTTTTTCTTGTTTCTTTTTTTCTTGTTTCTTTCTTTTCTTGTTTCTTTCTTTTCTTGATTCTTTCTTTTCTTGTTTCTTTCTTTTCTTGTTTCTTTCTTTTCTTGTTTCTTTCTTTTCTTGTTTCTTTCTTGTTTCTTTCTTTTCTTGTTTCTTTCTTTTCATTCTTTTCTTGTTTCTTTCTTTTCTTGTTTTTCTTTCTTTTCTTTTTTTCTTTCTTTTCTTTTCTTTTTCTTTTCTTTTTCTTTCTTTTCTTTCTTTTCTTGTTTTCTTTTCTTTTTTTTTTCTTGTTTCTTTCTTTTCTTTCTTTTCTTGTTTCTTTCTTTTCTTTCTTTTCTTGTTTCTTTCTTTTCTTTCTTTTCTTGTTTCTTTCTTTTCTTTCTTTTCTTGTTTCTTTCTTTTCTTTCTTTTCTTGTTTCTTTCTTTTCTTTTTTCTTTTTTCATTTTTTCTTTTTTTTCTTTTTTCTCTTTCCTTTCTCTTTCCTTTCTTTTTCTCTTTCCTTTCTTTTTCTCTTTCCTTTCTTTTTCTCTTTCCTTTCTTTTTCTCTTTCCTTTCTTTTTCTCTTTCCTTTCTTTTTCTCTTTCCTTTCTTTTTCTCTTTCCTTTCTTTTTCTCTTTTCTTTCTTTTTCTCTTTTCCTTTCTTTTTCTCTTTTCCTTTCTTTTTCCTTTCTTTTTCTCTTTTCCTTTCTTTTTCCTTTCTTTTTCTCTTTTCCTTTCTTTTTCCTTTCTTTTTCTCTTTTCCTTTTCTCTTTTCCTTTTCTTCTGATTTCTACAATTAATTTTTGGTGTTGTAGTCTATCACATAATACAAAAATCCTAAGAAGACTTCCTCCCACGGCGACGGCCACTAGAAAGATCTAATTTTTATAATTCTACTAAAATAATTCTTTGCAATAGCTATTACTCACCGTATTCGTATTCTTAACTAATTTGCGCGTATCGTCAAAAGATGGCATCTTAAGTAATTTTACAGTTCCATTTATTAAGTTCTCAGCATGATTAACCTATAATTTTTATATATACACCTGTGAGGAAGAATTCTGTTTTTTAAATCATTATAGATTCTTCAAATATACAAAGAAATTTAACAAAAAGCAGTATTTGTAACTTAATTGATTCCATTAGTATGGTAACACGAAGTATCGATTAATATTTCAGAATTATGCGTAATGTTTCATGCTTTTGCTGATCGTGGCTCTGTACAAATCCCTGCTTTTTTGTTGATCTGAGTAACTATCAACGTTTTTAAAACTTCTTCTTTCCCTCATTCTGCCATCTGTTCACAGAAATCCGTACTGTATTCCACTGCTTCTGTCGCTTGCAATATGGCATAAATGTTAAATCTTCCAGACTCTCTTTGCTTATTACATCACCCAGAAATTTCATCTGTCCATTTCTGATTGAAGAGAAATTAGACTACTTGATCAATAAATGTATGACTGCATTGTGCGTTATATTATAGAATAAATGATGCGTTTCGTTTTCCTTCTTTGCCGCTGATTCCTGCGCGCCATATTTTTATTATCACCGTTATTTTTATAATTAAAGTTTCCCTGATAACACAAGATACAGTGGAACTGATATTCGTCTTTTCTTGTCGTAGTTATAGTGGTAGAAACAGTTTTATTGATCCTTTTCATTGATTTTCACTCTTTTTTGCTGACATTTTTCATGATAGTTTTCTTTCTTTTAAGTTTATTAGCAGTTACCGTAGATGACTGATTAGTTTCACAAAACATGAGATTACGTTTTTCTTTTTCCTTTTTTTTTTTTTAGCAATCTTTGGATCTTTACTTCATTTTCTTTCTAGCTTTTCGATCTCTGACGTCATATACATCGGCTGATAGAGCGTAAATTTCGTCAGTATTATTTTGTCTTCGAACTTCAGGGAGTGCGCACAGATACTTTTTTTTTTTGGGGGGAGTTTTTTTTTTTTGGGGGGTTCGTTCGCACACTTCCATAATTCATTTTTTCTGTAATTTTTTAATCTTTTTTTTGCTATTTATTTTTCCAAAATATGATTAGTTCCATCTTCTTGCTACCAGATTTTGCTAACTATAATTACAGTAACTTAAACGGGATGCTGTATATTTTAACTTTTGTTATTAGATCGACAGAATTCAAACTTTCCGAACCCAAAACTATTACACCAAACAAACACCTTTCTATTCTCCAAATTATCATCCCACAAGATATCTCACATTTATGTATGCGTGGAGATAACATGACAAAGAGTAAAAGCTTGTACTGACAACGCGTTTCATCACCTTGTGGCAGGAGTCCTCTAGACAGAATGAGACAAACCCTGCGTGTAAGAAAAATGCGTTAAAATTTTTGAGAAAAGGAGAATAAACAAGATTCTTAGATCCTACGACCTGAAAATGTTTTCGATATACTTTTTTCTATATTGAAGCCATTAACGTCTGCTGGATTTGAAATTATCCCACTTCGAACAGATTTTTTTTTTCTTTGTTTATCTGACTACTGCCTTTTGCTAATATTGGTTTTGCAATGATAGGAGATATTGTGTATGAGCCCTGTCTTAGTTTGATCATAGAGAACTGTGAGATCAGTGCACTTTCAATGTATTTTCTTCTTCGTAAATACTTTGCTCTTCTAATTAGATAGGTCTGTGTTTATTAAGTCAAAACTATGGTTATACGTGTATGGTTGAACTAGTTGTGCGTATAAATTGTTGTTATACAATAGATCCTTTCATACAAATTTTTTTCCTGTTTGTCTCGTTAACTCCACTTTTTTAAAAACATCATTTCACGATGATGCGATTAATACGCAAGGGCCTACTGGGAGTTAAAAAAAATGAGTTCTTTATGTGAAGGATCTGGAAACCCACTCCTAAAAGGAAACAAAGAATAAACCTCTACTCCTGTTCAAAAGACTGCGAAAGAATGTCAACCGGGCGATAATTTATTTCTGAGACGATTCTACAACGGACAAACATCCATACATATATAAATACATAATTATGTATTGACGGTTAAGATTTGAATTAATATTATCGAAAGGAATATTTTTATTTTAAGGAAAGATTTGCATATAGGAGTCCTCTTCTATTAGTATGGCTTGTTTTAATTCCTGGCCACTAAAACCATTTTCTTCTTTATTTTCAATGCATCCACTTGAGGGATTCTCTTCTGGCTTTTTGTTTATCCCTTCAAGAGTCTAGCAAAAGGGTTACAAGTTGAAAAATAATTCATCACCCACATGACCGCGCAAACGCTTCTGAACTCGGTCAGAACTGAAAAGTTAGGATTGGGCATTCACAGCCCAGATATGCTGAAATTATTTCGTCTGATCTGCTGATATCAAGACAAAGCATGTCAGAGGTCGTCAGGTACTTTCTAAAGCTATACAAAGAAGAAACCATTTTCCAAATAACTTTCGTGATGGATTACATATAAGAGTTTCACTGGTATGAGCTTTATTCCCAAGACGTTCCAGCCAAGGAGCCGCTTTTAACACTCATCGTCTGCTGTGGATGTTACAAGAAAATCTCCCTCCCCATTGAGTTATGCGTGAATTGTTATAAAATATATCAGCTGCTATTCATGTTGAATATTTGTTATCGCTCTATTACAGATGAGGGTTTCCTTCCTAACTTTTTGTTTGAAGTAGTGTGGAATATCAACATCTTGATCATGTCATTATTTTCTCTTTGAATCTTTTGTTATTTGGTACAGTATTTTGTGATTGCGTAGCGCCAGTTAATAAGATCTGAATAAAAGATGGTGATTACAAAACAATACGGGTTTAATTCACTCAAAGACATTTTCCTTACTACTCTTCCTTCTCTATTTATAGTTCACTTCTGTGGCACAAACATTACTAACGCGTTTCATCATCAGTCTTCATTTGCCGAGTCTCTTACGTGGGTGAATGGCTCTACACAACTTGCCTTTCCTTCTAACTGTAAACAATGCTCGACGCTTTAACTTCTTTTTTCCGTGCTCGTTCATCCATGTACAGAAATCCATTAATTTCTTCGGCGTTTCCATTTGAACCCCTCCATTCACTACGTCTTGTATGGGTTAATTCTTTTAATTCGTCCTTGGCGTTTCACGTTTGACAGTTCATCGGAAAAAAAACTACCAAAATAGTTCTCAAAATTGTCTGATATATTTGTTATTCTTATCCATTTTTACATGCTACACACACACAAAAATTTCGGTCTTGCACCTTAGAGAGAAAGCGCGAATTTGTAAACAGTGACTGCTACGACTGGTAATGCAAAGCTCTTTTATGAATCGAGCACTCTGAGTCACTGGCCTGTTTATTCAAAATAAATACGTAAAAATTCAACTTCCTCTCTGCCGATAGCCGATAGCTTAGGGGGAAAATCTGCGACTGATGCCAAATCAGTCAGGTCTCGATACTGCCTTGAAGCAATAAGATGTCTAGTCACACTGATGAGCTGTGATACAGCGAAACAGTTTGTCTATGGATAGCAATATATATATATATATATATATATATATATATATATATGATATATATATATATATATATATATATATATATATATATATATATATATATATATATATATATATATATATATATATATATATATATATATATATATGAAACTATATATATATATATATATAAACTATATATATATATATATATATATATATATATATATATATATATATATATATATAAATATATATATATATATATATAAACTATATATATATATGAAATATATATATATATATATGAAACTATATATATATATATATGAAATATATATATATATATATATAAACTATATATATATAAACTATATATATATATATAAACTATATATATATATATATATATATATATATATATATATATGAAACTATATATATATATATATATATATATGAAAATATATATATATATATATATATATATATATATAAACTATATATATATATATATATATATATATATAAACTATATATATATATATATATATATATATATGAAACTATATATATATATATATATATATATAATACTATATATATATATATATATGAAACTATATATATATATATATATATATATATAAACTATATATATATATATATATGAAACTATATATGAAAAACTATAGTCTTTAAGATGTGCTATATTTATGGGTTAAAGTGCTATAATATCAGAGATAGAGCGTGTATATATATATATATATATGAAAATATATATATATAAATATAAAGTGAATGTGCATATTTATGGGTTAAAGTGCTCAATATCAGAGATGTCTAAATATAAAAAGTCATAGGCCAGACGTATTGGCGACAGTCTGTTTCATGCTAGATGCAATCGTCAGGCCTGACGATTGCATCTAATTGACTTCTATGTTCACTTATATTCATATATATATTCAAACAGGTTATGTATGTTTATTTTATTTTTAATCCTCTCAAACTTACAGATCAATTTCACTGCGATGTTACAAAACTGATTAAAAAAAAAAAAGACGCCATAGTTTTGGTTATTTCTTTTATTTTCCCAAGTACTTTCAATCTCATCCAAGATCATCTTCAATGATTAATTGCTAAGACAAAAATTAACAATTCACTCCTGAAGTTAATCTTGGATGAGATTGACAGTACTTTCACAACTCCAGAATAACATACCTGGTGTAGTGTTAAATATACTATTTCCATTTATCATTTAGATATATAAATAATTTTTAGGGGAGCAGCTTATTACATAATACATCCGGGATAATCCAACACCCAAATT